AATGGATGGAGGTCGGGGGCGGGGGGAAGCCAATGGGTATGCTCCCCTGCTCCTCCATTTATAAACATTTACTGTACACATGGAAGCAATGAATGGAACTGGGTCATATTAATCATAGGATGTGTTAACAAATTGTTCTGAGCTTAAGAGAGCCCGATATATGCTCATTAACTTACCGGTACATCTGACTCTGAGTACATGATTTGAAACTTTTGGCCCTCAGAACATCTTCTGATTTCCGTTTTTTCTGTTTTAAATGCTTTGTTGTTCGTTTTCCAGATATATACAACACGTAGTCATCTTGATTTCCATCAATCCAATAAAGGTATCAATGATCACAAAAGATACATACAATTTCAACTATGTGTTTTCTACACGAACCTATGACTTTCCGTCCTCTCCATATTTTCCGTTATAATACGCATGTTATCATTATTGTTTTGCAAAAATCTTTTTTTCTATTTCGACATCATTTCCCTTCATATGTATTATTTACAGAAATCATTCAAAGGCTGCTACCGTTTTTAAATTACAGCTACTTTTCAAATATTTCTTAAAATTTTCCCTTTCTAGAATGAACTCCTTTCTGGACTTGTCTCTAATTCTTTCGGAAAGAACATCTTCTGACTTCCAAGGAAATACTACCAGAGTATGCATCTGGCAGGTGGCCCTCCTTTGCAACATGTCAGGCAAGCATGTTCTTAGAAGGGAGAGATGAGAGATGAAGACCCAGCTACACAGGTTAAATTATAACGTTAAAAATGTGTTATAAAAATGTGGCACCAGATGGTGCTGTACAGCAGAATCCAAAATCAAAGCAGATTCCCATAGCGGTTTTTTTTAATAGTGGTTTTTTAAATATCTGTATAGATCCAGCCTTGGAAGGAGACTGGAAGGGCAGTGCTCCCCCTGAAGATTACTCCTCTTCCCTCTTTGCTCCTCAGATCTCAGATTCAAGTAATTATTTCATCAGTAGCTTGCAAATACAGCACAGAACTTGGTCCCTCAAAACTTACACTACTCCCCCTCCCTGAATATTTCTCTTGCGCCGTAAGTTGGGGAGCAGGAAGATAATATGGATATTCCTTGGACAATGCAAAATATTACTCTTACCTGCTTAAACGTGTCTCCTCTACCTATTAAAAATGCCACTCCAGATGGTAGCTGGTATGCTCCCACCTGCCCACTGCTGTTTATTTTATTTATTCATTTATTTTATTAAATGTGTTAGTTGCATGTCAGCCAAAGGGTCTCCAAGCAGCTTACATTGATTTTTATTTTATTTTTAATAAATACATTCTCACGGTATGTAATAAATACATTCTCACCACTACCACAACTTGGAGTTATTCCTTTGTTCTGGTGGTCATGTGGAAAGCAGACTTAAAACACCCAGCCAAATATAAAATTGCTTTAAGATTCTCCTAAGACTTGGGTACTTCTTTTTTGTATATGGAACCCCAAAATAGGAACAGAAGGTGGAGAATTATGAAAAGATTAAGAATCCATCACTTGTACCACTTTTGTGCTCTAAATTCCTTCTCCTGCAGCTGTTTTTCTTTTTTAAAAATAGTATTAGGGCTTCATGTGTGTTTGAGCAAAGTAGTTAGCTGACAGCCTCTGCCTATGTGGAATTAGGCAGAAGAATATCCAGGTTAGGTGTTGTGGTTTGTTTTAGAAATTTAACACGAGCTGCACCCATCAGATGGGGAACTCGTGGCCCTCCAGATGCTGGGGATGGTGGGAGTTGTCCAACAACATCAGCAGGACCACAAATTCCCCATCCCTGCAATATGTAATCTATAATTGTTTAAACATAATTTGCAACAATTTCTGAAGTGCCTCCTACCAAGCATAATTTTAGTGTGAAAATAAAAGGAACTGAACCTGTCTGCGTGAAATTAAACACCGCTATCTTAAACTGCTGACAGAAAAGACAGCTACATATTTCAGGTTAAGAATCTCAATTAAATGTTTAGTTGCCATGTTCAGACCTCACAACACTCCCCACCCCCTCGAGCTACAGCAAAACACAGGAAGATTGCAGAAATTGATAACGATCTCATTTGCGGAAACATTAAGGTTGCAAAAAAACAAAAAACCTGAGAGAAGCCAGAAAGCTAGAAGCTCTATGATATTCTGCCCTTTGCGCACACAGTGTGACAAAGAGGAACTCAACATTTACTGAAAATTTTAAATATTTTCCCCTGCCTCTGCCTCTTTGCCTCACTGCATCAGGTATTTTTAAGGGTTAAGTATTCAAATGTAACATCTGTGCTATCACAAAAAGTACATTGGAGTTTTTACAAGCCCTTGAAAACTTACACCAAAAGAAATTTGTTAGCCTTTATGGCTCCACAGCACTCTTTGCTTAGTTGCAGGGCACAGGAGCGATTGCCCTGGGTACAAAATTGTTAGGGGGCACAAAATTTCAACATCTGGTGCTGCCTCAATACAGCTGTGCACTTCTGTTGCTGGGCTCCATTGAAAATGGCTTCTACATGCAAACCAGGAAGTGACCGCTCCAGACAACAGAACGACTCTTCTCTTCTTATCAGTGCTGGATGAAACCTTGTGGAGGCCCCTAGGCAGTTGAAATCTCGGCGGAGCCCTGGCAAATTATCTCCTAATATGTTTTTGAAGTACTTTTTTTCTGGGGAAACGCAGGGGTACGCACATCCTGAAACATTTTGTGAATCTTTGTACTTTTGTCCATTTACTGTATTTATTTTCCCAGATTTGAACTATAAAATGGTGATTTTCTTGAGTCAAAATGAGAGTACCCCTAAACATTTTTTTTAAAAAAGCACTGCATTTTTGTAATTTTCTTTCAAGATCAAATCAATATTATTTTGATTCATTGTCACAGGGCTCCTAAAAGGTGTGGGGCCCATAGGTCGGTGCCTACTGTGCCTATTTGATAATCCAGCACTGCTTCTTATCTCTGGCTGCAATGTCCTTGGTGGTGTGGACACCATTAGGCAGTTGAACGTGCGTGCATACGCTGTCTGTTTCCCTCTCTCCCAGCCTGCTTCTGCATAGTCCCAGGCACTGGTAACCCACGCTATGCCACTGCTAAGTATTGTCTATACCAGGAGTGGGAACCTCAGGGCTGAGGGCTGAATGCAGCCTTCCTCTTTATCTGGGCTTTGGAACTCTCTCCAGATGATGGCTCCTCTCCCCAGGCCACACCCACATTGGTTCTGCATCACACCTCAGGTGTTCTTGCCTGCCTGGATGTGTCCTTGAACACTGGCTGGATGGAGGAGTTGCATGTGTAAAAACTAGCTTACTGAACAAAGTTAAATTTTACATTTATTGCTCTATCCACTTTTGTCTCCGGCCTCACACATCACTGACATGTGGCCCTTGGAATATTGCCCAGAAGGAAATGCAGTCCTCAGGCTTCCCGCTCCTGGTCAATAAACATAGCCCTACCTAGAAATTCCAGAGTTTGAAGCCAGAACCTTTTGCAGGCAATGTAAGTGTTCTATCACTGAACTATTGCCCAGCCACAAAGAAGTCAGTGCCAAAGAACTGCATTGGAAAATTTGGACAAATGCAAATTTTCAAGAAACACTGTAGTTTTGGTTCAGGTTTTGTTTCAGAAAGTGAAAAATTGGTATGTTCGTCTTTAAATGCAAACAATTGAATCTTTCCCTGATCGCAGGCAAAAGGCAGCATCCTATCTTCATCTCAGCCATCCTTATAATAACAATGTAACATAAACTGGTATTGTTATTCCCACATTGCAGACAAGAGGCTGAATCTGATTAGAGCGCTGCTCACTTAAAAACAAGTGTGTAAGTGGATGGGGTGAGAATTTCAGCAGGGACTGAGCTCAGGGCGCTCTTAGTCAACAGGCTACATTAACAGCTCCGTGGTGATAGTGGTGACAGTAAGGAAACACTTCCAGTTTTGTAATAGGAAAGTGACCCCAAGACCAGATATCACAAATTCCTTTCACTGCAAAGTGCATCATGCTAATCATGATGCTTCCTTTAATTTAGTAGAATGCAGGTTGTTCCAAGCAGGTCTTAACATGTACAGTTTGGTGTGCAGGGTAAAAAAGGGCTTTGCAATACCTTCAGAAATTGGGTGTGTGTGTAAGAGAGCGAGGAATGCCATCTCCGTACCTTCTCTTGTGAGACCGTGCTGTCTATTCCTGACAATGTCTACTTAATAAACCTTAGCATGAATAACCAGAGGAGGGTGCTGGTGGCAGGAGAATAAAAACTACATTGAGGGATGCATTTCTATATATATATAAAAGAAAACAGAATATCTGAAAGATAGAGGTGCAGAGAACATGACAGTCTGCCTGCTGAAGTCTAGGCTGATAAAGGCAGCTGTTTGTTGAGACATTGTGTTTTACCCAAATACTGGGAGGGTAACAAAGCATCCATGAGAGGGGGAAAAGTGGCTGAATGAACATTTTAATTAATTCATGTGCAATTTTAATTAAAAACATAATGTGTCAGGGAAATGAATAATGCCGCTGGGCAAAAAAAATTACAACACAAAAACCACAAAAAACTGGATTTTCTGTACAATTTTCTGCTTTGTTTCTGGTCCTGAAAGTGATCACTCTTATGGAGGAAAATCCTCTTACCCTAAATGATTTGCCCCCTCTCCAAAATAGTTCTAACAAAACTGATGGTGAAAGATTAGCTTGTATAGTGAGAAATAATTTTATCTGCCTCTGCATATATTGGCCCTGATACAGAGGGTGGGGTTGTTGTTGTTATTGCTGCTGCTTTTGCTGTTTCTGATGTTGAATATAACAGTAACATTGGCTACATGTCCATTGTTGTATGCAAAGAGCAATGTCAGTTCTAAAAACACTGGCCACTTGTTAGAGGACCTGGACCTGGCACAGAAAAATGATCAGCATTGTCTAAACCTGTTTCATGGTGTGCATGCATACAATCCTAGGTGATATTTTGGTTACCTAGAAGGGTGACTGATGTGTAGAAATGGCAGAAGCCATAGTTCATTGGGGCCATAGCTCATTGGTAGAGCATCTGCTTTGCATGCAGAAGGTCCAAGGTTCAACCCTCAGCTTCTCCAGGTAGGGCTGGGAGAACCTCACTGTTCAAAACCATGGGAAGCCACTTCTAGTCAGTGTAGACATTGATGAGCTAGATGGACAAATGGTTTGATTTGGTATAAGGCAGCTTTCTATGTTCAGAGAGGCACACCTGGCCCTCCACTCTGTGCAAGGGTCTCTCCAGATTGGGGGCTTGTGTACAACTTAGTGCTAAAAATGTTCACCAGCGCAAGGATTTCTTCTTGTACAATGGAACAGTCTTCCCCTCTCCTCCTCCATGTACTGCCTTTATCTGTTCTGGGAGTTCTCGCGTCGCTCTGGAGCAGATTTGGGGATGATATGCAGGGAGAAATCCCATTGCACTCGTGCTAAACTTTGCACTAGAGCAACTATTTAGTTTAATATAGCCTGGGGTTTTTTGTAGGTATATTCTACAACACAATAATAGCGCATTAAAAGGTAAAGGGACCCCTGACCATTAGGTCCAGTTGTGGCTGACTCTGGGGTTTTGGCGCTCATCTCACATTATTGGCCCAGGGAGCCGGCATACAGCTTCTGGCGAACCAGAGCAGCACACGGAAACGTCGTTTAACTTCCCGCCAAAGCGGTACCTATTTATCTACTTGCACTTTGATGTGCTTTCAAACTGCTAGGTTGGCAGGAGCTGGGACCGAGCAACGGGAGCTCACCCCGTCATGGGGATTTGAACCGCTGACCTTCTGATTGGCAAGCCCTAGGCTCTGTGGTTTAACCCACAGCACCACCTGCATCCCAATAGCGCATTAGTGGTGGGTTTATACTAGACCATTCACACATCATTCTGCTTTATTAATTGTTCTGCCATACTTCCCCAATGTTACTGCATTATTCTCCAGATGAGATGAGCAGCACACTTGTGGTAAAGTGCAACAGAAGTGGGTCAAAAATAAGCATGAACTTTTCTGGTATAAAAAAAACACCAGGATTTCAGCAGGAAGTTACAGGTCACTTACTGATTGGAAACGTTTCTCTTCAACCAGACAGATTAACATTCTAAGGCTTTTACAATGTGTTGGGGGGGTTTGCTATTGGTTTGTTTTTGTTTTATTATTTATTTTGCATTCTCATTTTGTATTTTTCTGTTGTGAACTCCCTTGGGAACTTTGGAGCACGGGTGGTACACAAATTTAATAAATAAATTTAATAAACAATGAAGAAGCGTCTCCATCCCCATAGTTCAGCCTGGACCCTGAGGTCCAGCTCTGAGGGCCTTCTGGCTGGAGGTTCCCTCACTGTGAGGAGCAAAGTTACAGGGAACCAGGCAGAGGGCCTGCTCAGTAGTGGCGCCCGCCCTGTGGAACGCCCTCCCACCAGATGTCAAGGAAATAAACAATTATCTGACTTTTAGAAGACATCTGAAGGCAGCCCTGCTTAGCGAAGTTTTTAATGTTTGATGTTTTATCAGGTTTTTTATATTCTGTTGGGAGCTGCCCAGAGTGGCTGGAGAAACCCAGCCAGATGGGCAGGGTATAAATAAATAAATAAATAAATAAATAAATAATAATAATAATAATTACTGAAATGCAGCAGTGGTAGACTGCCAATTGGTTTGAAATGGCAGTGTCTAAGTGCCCCTTGCCTGCACAACTTTCATGATAAAATGGTACACAAACCCCTAAGTTGATTCTTGCCATGCAGAAGGGGGGGGGGGATACAGTTCTGGCACACATTTTCTCCACCACTGCTCTGAAGGAATTGGCAGTACCGCACGGCTGCATTCCAGTACAAATCAAAAAAGCCATTGGGAGATCAATTATGAATTAATTAGCAAATCTGATATTGTAGAACAAATCTGATACTGTAGATCCTGGCTCACCTGTGGGAACTCAGGGCCAGTGAGGACACTGGAGTGGTGAGTGGGCAGGCCTTGGGGACTCAACTTGTCCCCTTGCTGCTCTGGAGTTCTGTGTTGCCTGGGAAAGTCTGAGCAGGCAGGGATGCTTGTATGTTTGGGTGAATGTGCATAGACTCCTCCACACAAAAGGGAACTCAGATCTTATAGGATCCCCAGTCAGAGGACGTGCTCCATGTGTGTTGAACTGAATGTGCAGAGATTCCCTTTCCAACCCTTCCCACTTCACTGAGTCTCCAACCAGTGGGGATGCTGGGGGCAGCGCTAGCATGCATGGCCTTGCTATTCCCTGCATGTGTTGGAGGTAGATATCTGCTCAAGGCTGTATCCCCATCATTGATGTATGTACATTGCAAGGCTTCAGTGAAACAATAAAAATACAATGCACATTCTATAATGGCACATTGCCATTCTATACTGGTATTCTAGGGGCCAGTGGTGGGCAGGGCCAGAGTCAAGTGGGTGGCACAATTGATGTAAAATTCACCTATACACAGTAAGGCAGTTTCTGCACACCTTCTGCACACACACTCTGTATCCTTCTTTCAGACAAGCAAGAGGCAGTATTTGAAGACACAGTCCAGCCAGGCAAAAACATTTGCGGGGGTAAAGCAGGGCTAGTGAATGGTGCAGACTAGGGAGAGAAGGTGTGACCTGGGAAGAGCTGCATTATGCTCCTGGGCCTGAGGTTCACCACTGTCTTAGCTATCCAGGTAGAATACCCTCCAACATCCGACGTGATCAAAATCGGAATACATGTTTTTTGGTCTCGCCCTCCCCTCTCGCTCATACTTTGGTCCATGGTTGGGCACGAGCCGGCTGACTCATGCCAGAGTGCGGGAGCAAAAAAAAAGCGCCTTTAGGTCTGGCACTCTGGAACGAGACCCCCAAAAAGAGACATTCTGGGATCCAATCAGAAGCTGTGATGGATTTTGTAATTTGGGGATGTCCCATTAAATCGGGATAGTTGAAATAGGTACTGAAATTATCCCTAATCTCAAATCTTTAACTGACATCAACGGGAGGCAAAAGCACATAACTTTGTTTGGCTCACGGCCCAAGTTCAGAGACTGATTATAGCTGAAGCAAATAATCAGTAAACCACAACAAGCATTTTAAAAATTCAGAAGATTTAGGCTCACAGAAATGGTTAATGTCTGCTGTTGCAGATGTGAAGTTAATGAATGTAATCTAACACATCTTGAGATAAACTAATATGCATACTGATATAAACAATAATTCCAGTCTTTTAAGAGTGGAAATCTGGTGTTTATTAGAACAGTTCATAATCATTCCCATTTCAAGTTCTGCATGAGAATACACTATAATGAGGGATTTAAACTCTTCTAATTAGACATGGTTTTTTTTTCTTTTCTAAAAAGCACACTGATAATTAAAATAGTGAGGGTTGCAGAGAGAAGCATAAAAACACGGCAAAAAGCTACAGGAGAAGGAAACACGCACCCATATGCAAAGCGTCTCCTGGGAACTACTGGTGTTATATTTTATTCAGGGCCAACCCAATCACGAGGCAGAATGAGGCAATTATCTCAGGCAGCAGCCACAGGGGAACAGGGAATCAGCACCCCGCCACACATGGAGACATACACTCTGACTACCTCACCCTGTTGCTGGTCTCAAGTTTAAACAGTTTTTCTTTGCCGTGGCAAACTATGACACCCCAGGCACTTTCATGACCTCTGCACCCGTAATGCTTACCTCTGAGGAAGGATCCTCATGTCACTTCCTCAGAGCAAGGCCAGGAGGAGGTAGAGGGGTGGCAGCAGAGAAGCCACCAGTCTTGCCGCCACAAATGTGGAAGCAAAGTGAAAAGTTAAGACAGGGAAAGAGGAGAAGGAAAGGGGGCAGCAGGGGGAAAGAGGAGAATGGCGATACTGTGGCAAGGAGCAGTATGGTGGTGTTTGCCAGAAGAAAAGTGTGTGTGTGTTTGTATGTAGGGATGCAATTCCTTGCTGGCCCTGATTTTATTTGGTTATTTTCTGAGGGCAAAGCTATCACAATACTGCTGCCTCAAAAGGAGGGCATATTTTAGTACAGAAATATGGAACTGGTACTATAGAGTAGAAAAGAACTACCGTAGAAACTGTTGTTAAGCCCACTTTTGATCAGTTTTTGCTGCTTTCCTGATACGGTATCTTGAATCACCTTCCCATAATCAGAAGTTTGGACAACATGCTAACATACCTTTTGCACCTGACTGTATGCTATTTGCTACCTCTGCAGTTTGTAGGATCAACCCTTTCCTTTTTGAAACTTTTCGTAATTAGCTAAAGAGAAATAAAGAGATGGCTTTTCAATACTGTACTGACTGCCTAAATGAACTATTTACATCACATTTTTTTAAAATAAAAAGTAACTTATAACCTGAGCACACATTTTCACACACAAGTGACAAAGTGTGCCTTCCTACCTACCATCTGTGCTCAGATATTTTTGACCAAACTCTCTGCAGCGGACACAGCAGGGTACATTCTACACTGCCCACAGCAATGAATAGGCTTGGAGGGATGAAAGATAATTCATCTGTCAACTTTTCTGAGAATTTTTGGCAAAGGGGTTTATGCCATAAACCAGCCCAGAGTTAGCTATGCTTAAGCACTTTGGAAATCAATGCACTCAAGTGCATTGATCTATGCCCTTACTTTGTAAGCGGCTCTAGTTTGTAGTTGGTAAAGGTAAAGGTAAAGGGACCCCTGACCATTAGGTTCAGTCGTGGCCGACTCTGGGGCTGTGGCGCTCATCTCGCTTTATTGGCCGAGGGAGCCGGTGTACAGCTTCCAGGTCATGTGGCCAGCATGACTAAGCCGCTTCTGGCGAACCAGAGCAGAGCACAGAAACGCCATTTACCTTCCCGCCGGAGCGGTACCTATTTATCTACCAACTACCTATTTTAGTTGGTAGTCTGTATCAATTGGTAGAGCAGATTCATTGTCCCCTTCATTATTTTCCATGGACACTTCCTGCATTCCAAAGGCACACACATGAATTGAAACAATGGCTCGACCCAGTTCAAAATAAAATCCAGTCTTGTGAATTCTTGAACATCCATCCACGGAGTTCTGTGATGCTTAGATGAACTCAGATTTCAGAGTTCAATTCATGTGAAAGATGGCCATAT